AGCTGTGCGGGCTGGGGGGGTTCGGCTGTCTCCCTGCCGCTGTGGAGCGGCGTTGGCGTGAGGTAAATAATTCCTGCCCGTGCAGTCTCTGCTTGGAATGGGGATGAAATATCGTGTTCCTCTTGCAGGGCGATGGGAGAGTTACATTACGCTGAAGCGACGTTCGAATGGTTTGTTTATGCGCTGATACTGTTTGGTAACTCTGTAATTTATTAAAAATGTCATGAACTTAGTAATTTACAGAGTGCAGTTTGCCCTTTGGATGACCGCTGTGCCCAAGGCTGGTGGGGCCGGCGTTCGGCTCCGTTGTCCGCTCCTGGAGCGCTTCAGAAGCAGCAAACGCGAGACCCTCACCGCATTCCTGTCACGCAGCGCGGGTGCGTGCCTGGGCGGTGGTTGTCTCTCGCTGCCGTTTGTTGTGTGCGCGAAACGGAGTTGCTTACGCTTCAACCCTTAACAGCAGCGGATTGGAACTGTTACCGTGTCACGACTTTGGCCTGACGGAGCCGTTTCACTGGTAACGATGTCGCTGTTGGAAATCGGCGGGTGTTTCAGCAGCGGTCCCCTGCCGAGCGACAGCCCGGCGCTGCGGGGGGAGAGGCTGCTCCCTGTCGGCGTGGCAAAGCTGCGCCGTGTGGGCGGGGCAACCGCCTCCCTCTTCGCCTGGGACTCGGCTGGTGTGCACCAGTTCAGCTATACTTGAAGAAACAAACTCGCTGCCATTTTTCTTTACGTATAAACATTACAAAAAGGTCATCTTATTTGTTCTGTCTTGCATAGTTTTTGTAGTGTTTCTACTCATCCTGGAACAGTTTGGAGTGTTAAGCTGGGAGGGACATCCTTTCATGGTTTAAGCAATAGATGAGCCACTGCACATGCTCACATGTTAAGCACGTCACTGAAGCACTGTTTCTGAGAAAGAATTGTGTGCCGAGTTCTGGTTATTCAGTTGGTGAAATAAGAAATTAAAATGAGTGAGAAGCTGAATGTGAGAGTGGTGGTGTGGGGGAGGTGGTTATTTTTTGTAATAAATGTAGTGAATGTCAAACCACCAACAATAGGAAGAGCAAGTAAGCAAACATCGTAGGCTTTTTAAGCTGATGCTGAAACTTTCATGCTGTTCTGCGCTTTAAAACGTGTGATATGCATGTGTCGATGTAGATTTTCTGTTAGCAGCTCTTCTGTGGCTAGCATGGAATTAATATGCTTATGTGTCCTGCCCTGGCACAGGCATTGCTCATAGAACCTTGTTTTTCAGTGCCAAATCTTTGAGAGAGGACAAGAAACTAAAACCTACAGTGCAAGTCAGCCCTTTGCAGACTGTGGGGAAGCTCTTGTGTGACTCTTAAGTGGTTGCGTCCTGTACTAGCGTTTCTTAAATCTTTCCATGAACGAGGGCTTTGCATTTGTTTCTGATTTCTTCACTAGAAGTGGCATGCATGGAAATATTTAGCCAGCCACAAATATTGAAGCTCAGTATTTGAGTAACACTTCTTAAGCTTTAAAACTTTTTCTGTTATACTTCAGATGATAAGTAATTGCCATTTAAACATTTTTTTTAAATAAAAGAAGGCTTTTGGTGATATTTTCACAACCAAAGCCCGGCCCCATTAAACTAGGGGACCTGAAGTACTTGCAGTTAATCGGAAGAAATAATTATCACTTCTCAATTTAGCTTCAGGTAAACTTTCTTGTATGAGAAACAATTTCTTTTAGGTTAGGAAAATCAGACCAAAATAGTGTTTGTAGGACTATGTTGTGTTCATAATTATGTTACAGGATGTTATCAGTGTAGGTCTCCAAATGATAACTGATATCTTTCAGTGAATAAGCCCCTTCCCACCTAATTCCCTCCCGCCCCCCCCCAATGACATGCATACCTACGTGCCAAACCTGTAACGCGAGAACAATATTGTTCAGTTAAACACGGTTAATTGAAAAATACTGAGTCTGCTCCAATGCCCTTGGGTGGTTTTCCCCACGTTTTTTTTTAGGCTGAGCCTGGTGTTAAAAAATGGGCTTAAATGGAACTCCTATATCACCTTAGCAATACAGACAAACTATCTGCTAGATAGTGGGTTTTGGTACTCTTACACTGACTTAGGAACAAGGAGATAAGCATGCACACAAGTCTGCTCAATTCTGAGCTTTAAGGTTCAATAGAACTTGCTTAGAATTGTTTTTATTATGTCAGTGTCTCCATAAAGGGAATTAAAAAGTCTCTAGTTACAGACTTTTGATACATGTTTCATATATGTAAGCTGTTCATAGCGTGAAGTACAGGAGTTAAGATGTGCTACAGAAAGCAAAATAATTTGTTTATTCTGAGTAGCAGCTAAGTTCCCCTTTACAAAATCATGTACTAATTTGGCAGTATTTTTCAGATCCAGTAGAACACTGAAACTTGGTTCTTCTGCATGTCTGGTGCAATTGAGCAGGCAGTCATAGTTCTGTACTCCTGTTTGTTTCTGTGGACATTGGCAAACTTGTAGAGACCTGTCTTAAAGAATTACATTTGAGAAATTACCTCCTGCTTTTTTCCCCCACTGTTGTGCTCCAACATGAGTTGACTTTAATGTGCGTTAATCTCTTCCAGATCTCTGTTTAAACTTGCTTTGATTTGTGTTTTCAGTCTTAAACCGAACTGAAGCAATATGGTGTATTTCTTACTACTTTAAAAGATCTCAGAAGATCTTGGCTTTAAGTGAGGGTAGTGATGTTTGTAGTTTATCAGCATCACTTCTTTTAGTTGCTTGGAGTAAGATTTTTGTCATTTTTCCTGTAAGTGTGGCATTTCCAGATTTTCTCATCTTGTTTTCAATTGTCTTAATGCTGGAGGAATGTGCTACTCCTGACTGCTTAGCTGATCAGGAGAAACACTATAGTCTCTCAAACTCTTCAGCCTGCAGTCAGCTTTTGGCTAGCTGTGGTAGGTTATTTGCATTTTGAATTATCTAGGCCCTTCTGTAACCACCCAGCCTCGCCTACAACGGTGTTGCAGAGTGTGGTACAAATACATCTGTTTTGCTTCAGGCTCTGTTGTGCCTCCTGCTTAGAGCTGCTCCTGCTCTCTGAAGGAGTTGCTTGCAAATGCTTCTGAAAGTGAATGTATTCAGAGTGTACGGACAGTTTTAACTCATACTTTAAAAAAAAAAAAAATGAAGGAAGCAAAACTGGGAATGTCTGACTGATTTGACTGTGGATATCGAAGAGCTCTGAAGAAAAAATGTATTTCTGTTCTAATTCACCCTCATTTTGGTGCTCTTTGCTCTCCCCCACCCCTTTCCTGAAAATCTGGGGAAAAGGGTTTGTAGTACAAAGCGGTCACAACAGCTGTACGTTTCAAGCTTTATTTCTAACAACTGCATAAAGAAAAGGCTTGCTGTGTGATTCACAGCATAACCTGTTTTCACTACATTTAAATACTATTGTATAATTGTACGGGCCATAGTTTACAGTACAGACCGAATTTGAAGAGATATCTCTGAGGACAAAGTGCAAGTTACTATGTTTTTTCATCATCGGACAGGAATTTTGTCATAATTTGAAATGATCTGAAGTATTTGTCTTTTGTTTTCACAGGTTCCTGTTGCATGTAAATCATGTCCCTGTGGCTACATATTTATTAGTCGAAAACTCTTGCATGCCAAACGTGCCGAGAGATCACCACCCATCACAGGTAATAGCTACAGAGATGGGAAGAAGGGGCCAACAGTTCTTTCCCTTTTTTTTCTTGGAGGCAAAGGATAGAGTATTTTACTTCACTGTGTAAATTGACTATTGTCAGTTCACTTTCCCTTAAATTTGTCATGGTAGACTTTTAATATGTTAATTTTTCTTGAATTTTGAGGGGAGGAAAATTTAAATTTTGAGCTCGTGGTTTCAGTCTTACTTCCTTTGTACTTGTGATGTTGTCATTTACTCTGTGTATATTCTAGCTGTGCATAGTGGTTGCTATGCAAAATAACTCCTTACAGAAAGCTTTCTGTTAGTCCTCTTTTGAAGCTAAATGGCTAGAAATGCCAAAGGGATCAGGTTTCAGAGTGCACGCTGATTGAAGCTGAGTTTACTGAAAGTAAAAATCCTCTTTGTTTGAAGAAGTTATGCTGAGTTGTAGTGTTTCATATATGCTGAGTTATACTTATTCATGAACACCTGAATGGCACTTTGTATAAAATTGGTTGTATGTTTAATCTAAAACCAGGTGGGTCTTGCGTTCCTCTGCATGATTAAATTAAAAAATAGTATCAAACTTGTGTGTCTTTTGTTGTTGATGGGCACAGTAAGAAGTTGGTTGAATATGCATTCTGGCATGATTAACATTCTCCTGTGTTCATTTTTATCACTTCCTCCAGTCCTAATAGGAATTAGTCAGAATAAGCACCTGTCAGGGAAGATGTTTGTTTGTTTTTTAAAAAAAACCACCCCATCTATTAATAATGTCTACTTTTTAACACTGTCTCCCAGGCCTAGAAAATGGAAACCAAGTATTTGACATTTTGTATCATTATTTTGAAGGATACTTGCAGTTTACCAGCTTGTAGGAACTATATGAAGTTATGCGAGAACTGAACTTTCAAGGGGGAAGACGTTAAGTAATGTCTGTGGCACTGTGTGGAAGCGTTGGTCAATTTTCTTCCCCACCCCCCGACTGTTTTATTTGAAAGTTGATAAATAGTTAGCAAATTAAGTTGAAAGCCATAATCTGTTAGAGCAGAGCTCTTGTCTGATTGAACTTTGTACATAGGAAATGCACCGGGGAAGGAAGAACTGCATGCACAAATATATCCTGGGGGCCACTCTGCAGGAAAGCAGCGTTGGAGGAAGGGACCTGGGGTCCTGATGAGCAGCAGCTTGAACATGAGCCAGGAATGTGTGCTTGCAGCAAAGGCAGCTAATGGTATCCTGGGCTATATTAGGCAAAGTGTTTGCAGTAGGTCGAGGGGATCCTTCCTCTCTACTCGGTGCTGGTGAGGCCACACCTGGAGTCCAGTTCTGGGTTCCCCAGTACAAAAGAGACATGGGCATACTGGAAAGAGTCCAGTGAAGGTCCACGAAGATGAAGAAGGGGCTGGAGCATCTCTCGTCTGAGGAATGTCTGAGAGAGCTGGGACTGTTCAGCCTGGAGAAGAGAAGGCTCAGAGGAGTGTTATCAATGTATATAAACACCTGAAGGAAGGGTGTAAAGAAGATGGAGCCGGGCTGTTTTCAGTGGTGCGCAGTAACAGGACAAGAGGCAGTGGGCACAAACTGAAATGCAGCAGGTTCCCTCCAAACAGGAAGAAACACACTTTTGGTGTGAGGGTGACCAAGCACTGGCACAGGTTGCCTAGAGAGGTTGTGGACCCTACATCCTTGGAGATACTCAAAAGCCATCTGTTTGTGGTCCTGGGCAGTTGGCTCTTGGAGGCCCTGCTTGAGCATGGCGGTTGGACTGGATGGTCTCCAGAGGTCCCTTGCAACCTCAACCCTTTTGTGATCCTGTGAAACGCAGCTTTTGTATTAACATCAGTGACAAGTTACCCTGCTGTCCAGTTTGTACCCTGTGTCTATACAGGATCAATGGGACAACTGCAGCAAAAGGAAACCAGTTCCCCAGGAGGATACAGCGGGAGACTGTGTGTGTCTGTGTTGTGCTCATAAGGTGACTGCAATTGCTTTTAGAAAACATTGTTTCCAGTATTTTCAATAGTATAGCTATTGCAGAATGGTGCTGCAGCCTTGCGAACGTGCAGCTAGTCTGCAGTGAGTAGCACACTGTGGTGATGGTACTGTTTTCAGTACCCAAGCTCATTAATCCATGCTTACAGGTGAAACTCATGTAAATAACCCTTTTTTTTTTTGACTCTGTCATGTAGGAAAACAATATACCTTTTCAGAATTAAGTATTAGAGGCCTTGTCATAGGCTAGATTTGGTGGGACGTGTATGCTATGTAATGTGGTGTTTACCGACAGCATTGTTGACTCAGTATCTCGATTTGTGTGGGCAGTGGGAATGATTTCATCAGTGTCAAAGGAAGGTGAAGTACTTTGCTGTTTGCCGATATGATAAACTTTTTGTTTTGGCTAGTGGAAACGTACAGTGGGCTGTTGATGGCTGTGATCTGTACAGGTTTTTTCCATCTCATTATGGCAAACTATGAACTTTTTCTATACTAGCAAATGTCTCATGTTGCAAAATGCGTTTGAAGTAATTAAAGGCTTGATCCTTGTAATCAAGAAGTGAAGTGCCATTCTGAATCTGATAACGTAATTTCTACGTGGATATCGTGCAGATGTAGTTGTTCTGTAAAGGTATAGACATCTAACCACTTTTGCTAAGAGATTTAAAGAAAAAAGTTGATTGGGTGGGGTAAGCACTAATAGGAAATTAAGAACAAAGATGAAAAGAACCCTAGATCATACCATCTCTATTCCTTTGCACAGAAAACAAGAGTGAGGCCAAAAGGAGACGGACAGAGAGAGTTAAGCGAGAGAAGATAAATTCTGCAGTAAATAAAGACTTAGAAAACCGAAAAAGATCCAGGTCTAACAGCCATTCAGATCATAGCAGACGAGGAAGAGGAAGACCGAAGAGTGCCTCAGCCAAAAAGCACGAGGAAGAAAGAGGTATGAGAACTGGAGAAATACGTTCACTGGGGTTTCTTTTTGTATGAAGATTTTTTTTTAATCAGTAAACCTTTATACAATTTAAACCTTTTAAGTAACTGGACTAGTTCAGCCAATACGTGATATCTTAATATAGGGAAGGGACTGTTTCACATCTGCAGAGACCTGTGGTTTTATGTTTCAGTGTCTGGTTGGAACTAACTACGAAGAGCTAAGTCTGCATTTTTAGCCACCAGACAAAGTTTCAACATATAGTTTGAAAGCCATTGGACTGTAGTGCTTAGTAGGTTTTTTGATTCGGTTTTGTGTATTTTTTTTGAGGTACTGCTGCTCTATATCACAAGGACAAACCATATAATGATGCCTGTTATCAGAGAGTGATTAGGATGATTGTTCAAGTTTCTTGAAACCTTTTGGAGAGCCAAAGTGAAAAGGGCATCTTGAGTCACTACTATGACCTGAAGTTTTGTCCCATGCTTCCACAGAATAATACTCTAGGAGGAAAGAATGCCTCCTTGCTTATTAACATTGCTTGATGACCAGCTGTTCTTAATCTTTATACAGTAAAGAGACTGTTACATGCACTAGAGTAGTTTTGGAGCCCTTCAAGTATGTGACTGTCACTTAGGGTTCCTATTTCTTTAAGAACCTATTGACACTGCATTTGCATATGCTTTTGGATATATTTATTTTAGGCCTGAATAATTAACCAAAAACTTAGCGTAGACTTAAAAAGGCTGGAAGGCAGATAGGAGGAAATAACAAGACGGTATAAATATTCAGAAGATCTTGTTCTTAAAACTATTGAAACCATCAAGCATACCTTGTGGCATAACTCAGAAATGTGATTTTTTTGTTTTTTCCCCGCCACCTTATTTGTTAATGAAAATGGGTGTTAATCCATGTTGTAAAGTGACTTCTTTTAACTTCTAACTTTTCAAAACTAATTTTGTTGTCTGCTTAATGTAAATCTGTTCATTCTTCAAGTTTCTTTCCTATAAAGACAAAGTATAAACTGGGATTTTTTTGTTTAGTGCTTTGTCTGTGGAAAGAGGAGGTACAATTTCATTTCTGTATGTTTTCTGGATGGCAGTTGCTTTACTGTAATAGGAATACACTTATAATATCTAATCTCTTCACTGTTGCATATGGCTTATTAATGTATGTAGCTTCACAGAGTACAGAGCTTCCCTAGTTATTATTGATTCAAGCTAGGCTTTGTCAAGTGCCTATAGGATCGCTTCTAGGCGTTTTACTGCCAAGTCTAGTTAGCTTTGGTTTGACAATTCTTGCAAGCTTGTTGGGTTGCACTGTAAAAGTAAATCTTCTTTCCTGTCCCCTGAAAAAGACAAAAGCTATCTAAGCAATCAGAAGAAAATATCCATTCTCTTAATGCATGTTTTATAGTCTCTGAAAAGCAAGGATTTGAAAGGATGAGGGATATTTAGAGAACATGTTTGCTTATCCAAAACTAGGCTGAATGGAGTGAAGCAAGAGGTTAAAAACAAAGTGTGACAATATGCCAGTGCTCAGAGGTAGAAAAATAGAAATACAGATGTAGTGAGATCTTTGCAAAAGAGTGCATGTGTGGCATGTTGTTTTCTTGGTGTTTGTAGGTGTGTGGGGTTTTTTTATGGGTTTTTTTTCAAGTTGAATCTCACTTGAGAAGATTGCCTCCATCATCTTGTCCTGTCTTACCATCCCCTTTACTTGATACTGTGACTACTGCTGCTGTTTCTTCCTTGCTGGTACAGAGCTTGGGTTGACGCCCGTTTGCTCCTCACCATTACAGCATACCTTACTGGTTAGGAATAAGTGGGCTTAGGATATTTTCTTACTTATTTCTTATTCATTATGTCACTGTAATGTGTGTAGACCACTGTCGTGATTATAGGGCAGATTTAAAAAAACAAACAAAAAGTTGACATATGTGGCTGCTGCGACTATAAATATAACTTCAGCAGAGAACCCATTATTTGTAAGTAATTACTGTGAAACAAGTTAACATTGACTCCTGGGTTTTGAAGGGTCTTATAAAATTGGCCTAACTACTGTTTGTGGAGTAATTAGTGGGGAATTTTAGAAATAATCTTCCTTTACCAAACCTGCTACTTGATAGTGTTGTTTGCATAAAAGCATGTTAAGCAACTTGAATTATTCCACTCTAATTAAGGTGATTTTTGTGTGACTCATTTGCTAGTCCTTGTATCAGTCTGCATAGTGTTGGAAGTCAGCTCTGGAGTGCAAGACATTAGCTTAGTGTCAGACTTTATTAATTTCCTTGCCTATTGTATAATTCTAGGATATTTTGGGTACACATTACTTGCTAGAGGTTGTGCTGCTGTTCTTTCCCCCAAAAGACTTGAAAAAAAGGGCACTGCTTGCAAAACTGTTAAGTATTTGGTGCCTCTTAGGCTACTGCAATGCCTAATGCATTTAGAGATGAAAAACAGGAGGGCAGAAAACACCTGAATTATAATAGCATGCAAGAGCAGATAATCTATCCATCTGAAGACCCCACAGCTGTGAAAAGCTTCCTAAGGACACCCATGGCACCTCTAGCTTTGCTTTCTTGCTTGTGTCGTGCTGTTCTCGTACATTGCATGCTTGTTCCCAGTTATGTCTGTGCCTTTGACTAGTTCTTTTGTATCCTTCGTGACTGGCTCACATTAGAGCAAAGAACTGCAGGATTCAACAGCAATTGAGGAGAATAAGAGAAGCGAAAGGACTTTTTAAAATAAGCTATTTTTGCTGCAGATTTAGTAAGAAGGACTGGAGGGGGAGGAAAGAGGAAGCTGATGTAGATTGAGGGGATATGGCAGATGCTGGGACCCAGAGAATGTTACTATCACATGTTTCAGAGACATGTGATGACCCTGGAAAATAGTAACATCTTACTGCAGGCTTGGCTTGTCAAAATTGGCAATTTCTTTGTCAGAAATGCTACAGTATATTTTGAAAATAGAAACTTAATCTGATTTGGATTTTTGTTGTGGTGGTGATATGTTTTTTATTCTGCTGTGTGGGACTGTGATACATAGCTAGACAGGTTCCCAGGCTGCCTTATCTAGGCAACAAACTTGATTATATTAAACAAAAAAACTCTTGTATGTAGGGAGGAAGTGGTATTGGTTGTTCTGCTCCTGAAAGGGGTTACTATCAAGTGAGACTCAGTAAGAGTGGCCTGGAGCCTTACTAAAGCATACTTGTAGATACATACATTTCAGTATCCTGATAAAACTTAAGCTGAATTAAATTTCTAAGTTTTTTAGCAATTTCCAACTGTATTACTTTTATATTTGCTTGCCCAATATGCACATTTGAAATAGTTCACTGTCTTGGATAGTGAATTTCAGAACTCTGGATTTTGAATCCGTACACAATTTGTGAGGGGAGAGAGTCCGTATTTGATTTATACATAGATGAGAATTTTAAGGGCTGTGGGTCTAGTGGGTTGCAGGAGATCTGGGGATGAGAGACATGCTGCAGGAAGACTGAATATTTTCACCTCAATAGCCTCTTAGTTTTATATCAAAAGACTTAGGTTTTTTAATGTCTTACAAAAATGGTATTGTGATTCTGTAAGACAGTCTTTTGCTAATAATAGAGAAGTGAGTCAAAACTATATTCAGATGAGACTGTGAAGCGGAAAGTTTTAATAGTGTCTGTAGAAACCACGGTGTCCTATGAGTAGCGTATGATAAAATGTCAGGCAAGTGCAAGCTGTTCACTGGTTACTGATGAGAACTGGAATTGTTTTAAGAATGCTTAAAACTTGCAAACCCGTGTTAATCCCTGATACTGTTTGATGTCAAGATTTCAGTTCTTTGAAGCTGAAGTCTCTCAGAACAAGCCAGTACTTTGGGAGGATGGGGGGAACGGAAACTTGAGAAGGTGTTGGTGTTGGGTTGTTTTTTTTTTTGCTAAGAAGTCTACAAGTGGTTAACAGTAACCTGGGAGGGGGCAAGTATTTTTAATTTTGCTGGGTGCTGACATATTGAGGTGGTGGCTGCATTTGTTTGGTTTGGGAAGTATGAAAAAAGGGGAGGGGTTTAGATGTGGAAATAGGAAAGGTTAATGTGGAATAACAAGTGTGTGTAGTATCTGTGCTGAGAACAACTCCCAGCATTCTTAATTTGTAAATGGTGGGAGGGAGGAAGTGGAGCAACCCAGCCTGAGTGTGCATAAGCAACTGATTTGCCTTAAACTACAGGGTAGGACTTGCAGCAGAACTCAGTTTCTCAACTTTTGTTTCAAACTCAACACACTAGAGAATATTGTCTTATGTAGCCAGGGAACAAGCAGAAGTCATTTACATTCCAAATACAAACATGCTTGGATTTGCTTTACTTCACTAAGGCAAGTTTCTTGTTTTCAGACTAAAAACTGGTGCATCTTTGTGTGTCCAGGCTCCTCACTAAGCAATTTTACTTGCAGGGAAAGATAAGGTTATGTGTGATTTAAGTTGTCTAGAAATCTAGAAGTAGAGGGTTTTGTTGCTATGTGTCTCTATCAGTATTAAATCAGAACACAGTGGTAAAGGATTTTTCAGTTCCTCCCTCTTAGTTTAACACAAGCACTTGACTTCACAGGGAAGATAGTCTGTTGGAATGGTGTCTGTAGCTGTAATACAGACAATCGGATGTGAAACCAAATCTAAAAATGTTATGAAGGTGGACCCACTGAAGGGGTAACCATGTGAGTAGGTGGAAACAGGAGATGCCGGGATCTTTCTTCCATGTGGTGCTGTCCATTATTTTCCAATGCTGCTTTATCTTTCACCTGCCCATTGCTCATTTAGGTGTCTTGATGGAGCAGTCTGCCAGAGGATGCTGTGGTCAAAAAGAGCACGCACGTGTGTGTCTGTGTGTTAATGAGACAGGGGTCTGTCCAGTGAGCGTTGTTTTGTGATTGTAAATTAGTCCAGGCTACCACAGAACTTGGGTGAGAGATGGAGCTCTACAGCTAGACACCAACCTTAAAGCTCTAGACGTATTAATCTCTTCTCTGTGTCTACAAGTTTGGTCTTCTGACAAAGCTGGGTTTTTTTGTGGTGTTCTCTGTTTTATTTTTTTTGTGGGTTTGTTTTTTGTTTTTCCTAAATGAGCTGTGTCAGCTAGCCATGGCTAGCTGAACTGGGATGTAAATTCCAGATCTGGAGTAAGTGCTATTTATGAAAGTACTATTCTATTAGTTTTGTCATATGCCATAGTGTAACTTCGTATGCTTGAGCACTGCAGTATGGAAACTTCTTGATGGCTTGCTTTTGTGTATCTGTAGCCTTGAAGGAAGCCAACATCAGCGGAGGGAATTTAGACCTTTTCCCTTGCTCACTGAGGTGATAGCATTGCTCTGTATCTGGGATAAGATTGAAAGTCTGCAGTATAGAAAGTCCAGAAGTGTTCACGGTGACAGACTGGGAAACTGATTTCTGCCTTGTGTCTGCTCTTTGGTCTTGGGCACTGTAATTAAACTACTGGGTTTCTGTTACTTAGATGTGGGACAAATGTCATATTTAATGAGGATATAGTGAAGTATCTTTGCTTTCAAGGATGGGAGGTGTTTATGTAAAAGTAAAGAAAAAAAACTCAAATCCAAAACTGGAGGAACGCTTGAATACTCTTTTGTGTCAGGAATCAATGTAGTGTTAGTGACTCATTCTTTCTTTGTCATTAAAGAACAGAAATTCAGTCATGCTTTTGGATGACTAATTCTGTGACTCTTCTGGCACCTTTGCGTGCTTCCATTCCTTTCTCGTCTGTCTCAATCCCTCCTTGTATGGGAGTTGATTGTCTAACTTCTTTTCAGTTGCAGTACTCCATTCCACATATTTATTAATTACTATGTAACTTGCATTAATTTCGGATAATGGAAAAAGCTTCTAATAGTGACTTTTTTTTCTCCTACAGAGAAACAAGAAAAAGAAGTTGACATGTATGCTAACCTTTCAGATGAAAAGGCCTTCGTATTTTCAGTGGCCTTGGCGGAAATAAACAGAAAAATTATCAATCAAAGACTTATTCTGTAACTTGTAAGCACAATCTGATGCATTTATGTGCAAAATGGCTAGCATATTTCCAAGGTGTCATGGACTCTCGGGAAGTGTGTTGTCTGCACCGACAAGGACCATAGTATTTCCTGTTAAAATTCTGCTGCTGTTCTTGGAAATCGAATTCTGTCTCTACAAGTCAGAAAGAAAGTGTTCACAAGATTGTACTGTGAAAAATCAGAAAGCAGATACGTTTTACACCTTGAAGACAAATGCTAGACAAGTGCACAGAGAGACTGCACCCATTCCAGAACCCTTCTTTTAAATTTGCTGCCAGAAATGCAATATTTTAAATATTTTCAGAAATAAATGATTTTCCTTTAAAATTATATATTTCAGATTTTTCAGCTATATTGCAGTTTACTTACAGTTCACATAACTTTTTAATAAATTGATATTTCAGTATTTTATTGAACTGGGTATTAAGTACGTTTGTGACACTTAGGGTGTGTTTATTTTAATCCTCTTAGAAATCTGGTATTTATCCTAGGGATGACTTTAGATTTACATTTTTTTAATAGGTGTGATATAATTCCAATAGGAAGAAAATCAAAGTGGCTTTATTTTGGGAGATTATTCTGCCTGACAACTTCATATTGTTTGTGAATTCTCTCTAGAAAATGATTCCCTGTTACATGGAATTGTTTTTTAAAAGCTGCATAGACTTTTTAGGGTCAGACTCCTGAAGTCTGAGAGCTAAGCATTTGTTTTGTAACCACTGCTTGCTGGGTGTCTGCCTTGTCCAGACGGTAAGTACTTTTCCCCTACTCTTTCTTGGCCAGAGAGTAGCAGACGTCGGAGATGTAGATCTGCAGCTAGCACCTTCTTACTGGTATTTCTAAAAGAAGAGGATATGCAGGTTCCTTTTCTCATCAGCTTTTTTTTCTCTGTCTTTTAAAAGTGTAGTTCTTGACAATGTTGTCTTTGGACTGTTGACTGTAAATACCAAAGCAAAAGTCTACCGGAGTGTGCAAAAATGAGCTGTTTTGGTAGAAATAGGTTTAGGTAAAACATTCAGTGAAGTCCTCTTTGTTCAAGTGGTGTAGTGCAATTTGAGCCAAAACTCTTGCATTAGTTTTGGCATATATAAAATACGTGCCAAAATATATGGTGTTTTTGCCTTACCAAAAAAAAAGCTCAAGCCCTGTGAAATCCCGAGGGAGGTGTAGGAGCCAATTGCATTCATGAAACCTGACATACTAGCTTTTTGTTACCTTTCATTCACTCTTTTCTAAGAAGGGGAATGTAACTAAATGTCTTCGTTTTTCTTCAGTATTACTCATGCTTTTCAGTATCAAGTTACTTTAATAGTGAGAGTTACCTAATGAGGTTCTGCTACAGAACTGATCTCTAGATGGAAGCAGAGATTTTTATTAATAAAGCTGGACTATCAAATACTGACAGTTTATTGGTTAAGGGAAGAAGCTATGATAGTTTTGAGTTAAGCCACAAGGGACTGATGAGGTGCAAACTTTGTAAGCAGGAAATGTGGCAAGTGACTTTTAATTCCTTACTCCTAAGGAGTAATTGAGGTCCTTTTTAATGCTGGATGAGAGGGATGGGTGTGGAAATGCCCTTAAACCACTAATCTACATTTGTCTTTATTCCAGTAAATGAGGAATTGCGAACACAAGACCTGCTTCCCCACATTATGTAGACTTCTGCTTTCCAGAACTGTAGCCTGTCGCAGATACCAATAGTAAGGACAGATGAGTAACTCTTAAGGATTAGAACGTATGTTTGCATGGTAAGTTGCTGAAGTCAGAATGACAAAAGGGAAGTTCTAATTTTGAAAACTTAAGACATGATCAAGCTTCTGTTACTTCTGTTGCTAGAATGAGATCTACCGTGTTAAGAAGGGACAAAGGGAACTACTGATGTAGTCTGTTCAGCACTCTAACCTGCATTCCTACAGGTATCTACTTCTTTCTGCTTCTGTACATGGAGTTAGTTATCTACAGAGGACTGAAGTTAATATTGTTAGATGCGACAAACTTTAACTTATGGCTTTTACATTTAGATTGGTGCCATCTCTGATAGGTACTGAAAAATACGTTCATACCTCTCAAAAGTGTAAGGCTATTTTTTCCTCTTCATTGGTGGAGAGTCTCTTGAAACAGTGGTTGAGTTCCATTTCTGTACTTTTTCCCTTTGTCTTCCCCAGGTGTCTGCTGTCGGCTCTTTCCCACTTGTGGTCATGCTATTTTTCTTCCTCTGCTGGCTTCCAGTTTCTTTGAGAAAGCTGTGATGGAAGCAGGTGGCCTTGAAAATATTCTAGGGAGAGAGTGCTTCGTTGCCAGTGGATCTTGCAGAGGAAGAGTCCTGACTTTCTTTTCCCACGAACCAGAAACAAACCATTCTTTCCCATATAGACCCTGCTTTGGCAGGGGAGTTGGACTAGATGACCCACAGAGGTCCCTTCCAACCCCTAATATTCTGTGATTCTGTAGACAGCACACTTCAGCATCTTCCAAAAGCCCTGGTAACTCTGTGGCTGTGGTATGCTAAGACATAGATTTCTTGGAACACATTCAGTGACTGAACTGGAAAGCATCTGCACTGTATGAAATAGGCGTCAACATGATGGCATCACAAGAGCTCTTTCTTTGTGTGTTAGAGATGATCAATGGATGAAACACTGTGGCAAACCATTGTGGATTATAATTGTAAAACGTATTGGATCTTGGTCTACGAAAGTAAAATAAAGCCAGGGACAGCTAAACGATGAGAGAGTAAAATGCTATGTACTGCAGCTTTGACTTACTTGGAAGCTGCGTAATTTCCAAGAAGCAAGAATAAATATGTAACACTTCAGGAAGCTGCTTATGCATAATTTTTTTTTGTGACTCTCTAGTTCCAATATAAGAGCTTAGGCCCTGTCTCTGAATGTTTTACGGTTCAGTCTACCTTAACTGATTTCACTGCATTTTGTAACATGAGACCTCACACAGAAAAATAATCTTCTTTCAGAAAAAGTGAATTAGGCTGCGGTTTTTTTAATTAGCTTGAAAGAAGACCAAGTATATCACCACTACAAAAATACCGCTCCACCTCTATACCGCCTCTACATGTTGACTTATCTGACTAGATAAGCTTGATGTTGTGAATAGAATAGTTTAGGATTGTACTGGAGAACTGCCTGTTTACAAGCCACCATCTACATCTTTCTGCCACTTCTTTTCCCTTTTTTTCTGAAGAACTATGTTTCCAGTGTTTACATCTCTGTGTAATAGTGTGTCAGACCATCAAGCAAGTTCACGGTACAAATTCTGGCTTGAGATTTCTCTGCGTTTACTCTAGTCTGCTACTAGATGGCAGGCTTATTCTGAAGAGAGTAACTGTTCAAGCATTCTTACTGTTGATACTAGGAAGAGCATAGTATTCACTTTTCAGTAAAAGCACATTGAAAGATTATTTTTCTGTAGAACATCACTCGCTCATAGCTAACTTAGGAGCTTAAAATACTGCTAATGAGTATTACTCGCTATCTGCACTGGAAGTAGATGACTTAATCAGTTGCTTGGGATGTTAGCTCTTGAGCTGTGAAAATTGGTAGCAATAAATAATTTAAGACCAAAGAACTCTGAACTTTCAGTTGGCAATTTAATAAAAAATGGTTTAAGGGAACTCTTCCTCGCCTCCCCTGGAACTCCCATATATGTAAGTTTTCTTTGGTCCAATTTTACAAACATCTCTAATTTTCCTGTCATATTCACTATAATACTGTTATGATCGATTAAAAAAATTTGAAAATGAGGCAATTGTTGGGGAATACTTTGGAGATTATCATCACCCTGTGGCTGGGCAGCAGGACTTATGGAGAGGGAGACTAGAACTGAGATACTTGCTTCAGATATCAGGTCCTAAACAAGGTCTTTGGGTTGGTTTCACACAGTGCTTTTTATTTTTTTCTGAGTTTTTCCAGTTTTGTTTTAGTGAGACAGTGATTCATGTAGGCTACTAGCAGCACTGTGTTTTCCTTGTATCTTGGACTGTACTATCAAGGAGCTTAGTATCTTGTTGCATAACAGGACATGATGCTTGACTTCTTTAAGACACTGATAACCTTTAAGGTATTGATAACTCATGATTAAACAGTGTAACCAGAAAGCAGTCTTAAACCACTGTTTAGTTTAAGCCTTTCTGAGTTGCTGTTCTCCAGAACACGATCCCTCTGCATGCATGAAGATGTGCAGGTACTGCTGGTGTCCTATTTTATATGTCTAGGTGCATTTATGCAAGTGTTTTTCTTTGGATTAGGAGTAGGTGTGGTAGTCTCTACTTCCAGTGCTTATGTTTGTGTCATAGAATAGTCTTGGGGAGCAGGAAGTAGATTCCTTTTACAAACAACTGACCTTGAAGATGTCCTTCACCTGTTAGTGGGTGCTTGCTCTGCAGGACCAGGTCTGCCTGTAGCAGATGGTGGGCTCTCAGGCCCAACGGTTTTACTCTGCAGATCTCCTCTTGTGCCTTGCTTCTTGCTTATTATGAAAATATAGCAAAGCAAATGTTAACAAGTTTCACCAGTGCTTTCAGGTGAGTTGTTCTCCTTCAAGGTATTAAAGATGTCATCAGTGTTTTGTAGTAGACTTCCTACTGTTTTATTTCACTGTGGGTTCTGATGAATATCCTCTAGTGAATCAAACTGCAGCATTTCAAGATGTTGCTTTCCCCAGTTGTTTGCCTACCCTTTTGGGAGGTTGCCACTTCAGTAGCAGTGATGGTGGGACAGCTTTAATAAATAGAGTGGTTTTTTTCTCCCCTTTAGGCTGTCACTTTCGAAACCCACTAGCAGTTACAGAAAGTCTGGCTGCCCCGAAGTTATATCTGATTAAGCAGTTTTTCCTGTTGAGATGAAGATGATCAGTTTTGCTGCCTTATGGTTGATCAAACACTACAGAAATACACTGCATGATTTCAGTAGAGATTGTGATTTCGTAATGAACTGAAAGTAAATTCATGTACTAGAGTGGGATTTTTTCAGCTCTTACTTTAAAAAGGGCTGCTTGTAGCTGCTAGCTGTTGAATGGGATGTGCAATCTAAGTAAAAAGCAAGAAATTGATTAGGCAGAAGGCAGTGCAAATGGATAAATCTGTGTGTTTCTTTTTTTTTCTTCAGAAGAAAACCTAAACCTGCTTTTACTGAAGTTGTTTAATTTCAAGCTCAAAACGTGATTCTCATGAATCATTTGGTGTCATCATGCAGCACATTCCCCAGGAAAGTCAGATACCCGTCCCTCATCTTCCCCCCACAAGCTACTTTTCTTGGTGCTGCTTAGCTTTGTACATAGAACCTGAACTCCGTCTTATAAAAGTCAAGTTTACTGCCTTTTGTTCCTAGTATGCATTTTTTCTCTCAAGCATAATTAAGTCTTTAATTTTGTCATAAGGCTTAAGAAATA